ACCCCACTCAGCGCTGCTTTGGCCGCCTGACGGACGCTTGGCGTCAGCAGTTCCCCGAGGCCAGTGAGATTCCCCGTTGGGGAGAGCTGTCTAGGGCTGGCGTAGCTATCTTTGATCTTGACTTTGATGCTATCCTTGCTGCCATGTATGCTGTGACTATTAGTGAGGAGGGTGACTGTTACCGGTGTTTCCCGCCCGACCCGGGCATTGGTACTGCTACGCTAGGTACTTCTGAGGCTGCTGCTCTAGGTGCCAGTGCGTCTGCACTCTCAGGTACTGGTGAGGCTGCGCTCTCAGGTACTGCGTCGGCTTCGGCCTCCCTCACCTTCACGCTTGACTCAGGGGCTTCTCGCTCCTTCTTTCGAGACCGCACCACACTCACGCCGCTTGGCCGGCCGGTTGCAGTCTCCCTGGCTGACCCCACTGGGGGTCCAGTCCTCTCTCACTTCTCCACTGTCCTCCCGTGTCCGGCTGCCCCCTCGGGCACCTTGTCTGGTCTGTACCTCCCCTCGTTCTCGACGAACTTGGTGAGTGGTGCTGACCTCCAGGATGCGGGGGTTCACCAGTTTACTCCTGCGAGTCAGCGGGTGACCCACTGCTCGAACGCCCGCACAGGCCGACACCTGGCCACGTTCTCGCGTCGGCCGGGGTCGAGTCTCTACACACTGACCACTGCGTCTCCTCCTGTCCCTGCGTCTGGCCAGGTAGCTGCGTCGGGTCAGGTGTTTGCTGCTGCGTCCAGGTCTGGTCCTGAGTCTGCCCCCTGCTCGTGTCGCCGCTTGTCTCACGAGACTCTCCTGTGGCACCACCGTCTTGGCCACCCCTCCTTGCTTCGTCTTCGGGGCATGGCTTCCCGTGTCCTTGTCTCTGGTCTTCCCCGGTCTCTCCCTCCCCTTCCTTCGGGACCCGGACCTTCTTGTGTCCCCTGTGTCGAGGGGCGGCTCCGGGCTGCCCCTCACTCCTCCCAGTTCCCCCCGACAGAGGCTCCACTGCAGACGCTTCACATGGACGTGTGGGGCCCCGCCCGCGTCCGTGGGCAGGGTCACGAGCGCTACTTCCTGCTGGTGGTTGACGACTACTCGCGTTACACCACAGTCTTCCCCTTGCGCAGCAAGGGTGATGTCACTGAGGTGTTGATCGACTGGATCCGCGCAGCTCGTCTCCAGCTCAGGAGGAGCTTCGGCTCGGACTTTCCTGTTCTGCGTCTGCACTCTGACCGAGGTGGAGAGTTCTCCTCTGGCCTTCTGCGAGCCTACTGTCATGCACGAGGCATCCGCCAGACCTTTACGCTTCCGGACTCTCCACAGCAAAATGGGATTGCTGAGCGCCGCATTGGCATGGTCATGGACGTCGCTCGTACGTCCATGATGCATGCGGCTGCCCCCCATTTTCTGTGGCCGTTTGCGGTTCGGTACGCGGCGCATCAGATCAACCTTCACCCCAGGGTCTCCCGGCCGGAGACCTCCCCAGCTCTGCTGTGGACGGGGAAGGTCGGCGATGCGTCTGCGTTCCGTGTCTGGGGATCTCGGGCGTTTGTCCGCGACTTGTCTGCGGACAAGCTGTCCCCTCGTGCTGCTCCCTGTGTCTTCCTCGGCTTCCCCCCTGACGCTCCAGGGTGGCAGTTCTACCACCCCTCCTCTCGTCGTGTTCTGTCCTCCCAGGACGTCACGTTCGACGAGTCAGTCCCCTTCTACCGCCTCTTCCCCTACCGCACTCCTTCCCTCCCCCCGCCACCGCACTTCCTTGTGCCAGGTCCCCCCCCGGTAGACCCCCTTCCCCCTCAGGGTCCTGCCCCTTCAGGTGTGTCCCAGGTAGACGCAGTCGAGCCGGTCGAGGTTGCTGGTGACTCTGGTCCTGCTGCGGGTGCTGAGCCTGAGGGTGCTGAGTCTGGGGGTGCTGAGCCTGGGGGTACTGCGACTGGGGGTGCTGAGCCTGGGGGTGCGGAGTCTGGGAGTGCTGAGCCTGGGGGTGCTGCGACTGGGGGTGCTGAGCCTGGGGGTGCGGAGTCTGGGGGTGCTGAGCCAGGGGGTGCTGCGTCTGGAGCTGCTGAGCCTGGAGCTGCTGAGCCTGCGGCCACTGGACCTCCCCTTGTGCCGTCTGGCGGTGCGGGACCTGGCGTTTCTCCGGGTGCTTCGCCTCGGCGGGAGCCCCTCTCTCCACAGGAGCTGCGCGAGTGGTTTGCCAGGCGCTGGAGGCGTGCTGCTGGGGCTGGAGGTTCTTCGGCTGCTGAGGGTGCTGGTGCCGCGGGTCCCGGAGGTGCTGGAGCTGGAGCTGCTGAGGGTGTTGGAGCTGAGGCTACTGCTGACGGTCCTGCTGGGGGTGCTACTGGTGCTGCTGGAGGTCCTGGAGCTGGAGGTGCTACTGGCGCTGGTGCTGCCGCTGGGGGTACTGGTGCTGTCCCTGCTGTGTCTGGAGTCGCCGCGCGGCCTAGGCCGTACTTCGTTCCGCTCCTTCAGCAGGTTCTTGGTCTCCCGCCTTCTACTGGTCCTCCTCCTCCCTTAGAGTGTCCACAGCCTGTCCTGTCACAGTTACAGTTACAGCCGGCCTCCCCACTGCCCGCTCCTTCTCCCTACACTGGTCCTACTGGAGGTCTTGCTGAGCGTCGTGAGCCTGCGTCTCGCCCTGCGTCGCCTGTCCGTGCTGCTCGCACTAGTGGTCGTGGTTCGCGTCAGCGTCCTCCTCCTGTCCCTGGCACGCACCGGATGTCTCTGCGTCCGTCCACTGCTCCTCTGCGTGCCCCTTTGCCTTCTCCTCCTGAGTCCTCTCTTCCTGCTCTTCCTGACCCGGAGTCGGACTCTCTTCGTGCTGCCAGTCCTGCTGTCACACGTCTCCTTGCTACTGTCGTCACTGACCCCTCTTTTGAGTCCACTGCTGCGTCTGCGCTTGTTGCTGAGCTTGTCGACTTTGCTGCTCGCTGTCGTCTAGACTACGCTGCCGGTCTTGTTGCTGAGTCTGCGTCTGTCTGTCCTCCGTCCGTCGGGGGTGAGTGTGCTCTTGGCACGGACGTCCTTGAGGACAGGCAGGAGGAGTTCCGGTGTCTGGCTGCTGCTTCACCTCATCTCGCGTCCGTACTACTTGCCCCTGAGGGAGACCCGGATGCACTAGACATCCCGACTCCGCGCTCTTACGCGGAGGCAGTAGAGGGTCCCTACTCCTCTCAGTGGCAGGCAGCTATGGATGCAGAGATGGCGTCCTGGAAGTCCACAGGCACCTACGTTGACGCGGTTCCCCCTCCTGGGGCGAACATCGTCAGTGGCATGTGGATCTTCAGGGTGAAGCGGCCGCCGGGCTCTCCACCTGTCTTCAAGGCGCGGTACGTCGCTCGTGGCTTCAGTCAGCGGCAGGGAGTTGACTACTTTCAGACCTTCTCTCCCACCCCGAAGATGACCACTCTTCGGGTGCTGCTGCACATAGCCGCTCAGCGCGACTACGAGCTCCACTCTCTTGACTTCAGTACTGCTTTCTTGCAGGGTAGCCTGCACGAGGAGATCTGGCTGCGCCGTCCACCTGGCTTCACTGGGACTTTCCCTCCTGGCACCCAGTGGAGCCTCCGACGGCCAGTCTACGGTCTCCGCCAGGCACCGCGTGAGTGGCACGACACACTGAGGACTACGCTTGCGGCTCTTGGGTTTGCTCCCTCTACTGCTGACCCGTCGTTGTTTCTGCGCACCGACACTTCTCTGCCGCCGTTCTACGTCCTCGTGTACGTCGACGACTTGGTCTTTGCCACAGCTGACACGGCTGGACTAGCCTACGTGAAGTCCGAGCTGCAGAAGAGACACACGTGCACAGACCTGGGTGAACTGCGCAGCTACCTTGGCTTGCAGATCACTCGGGACAGAGCACGCCGCACCATTACCTTGACTCAGTCACACATGGTGCAGCAGGTCCTTCAGCGCTTCGGCTTCACGTACTCCTCGCCTCAGGCCACTCCTCTGTCTACTCGCCACTCGCTCTCAGCTCTGCCTTCGGATGAGTCCGTAGAGTCGAGTGGCCCGTACCCAGAGCTTGTTGGCTGCCTCATGTACCTGATGACCTGCACACGACCTGACCTTGCATACCCTCTTAGCATTCTTGCACGCTATGTTGCTCCTGGGAGACACCGACCAGAGCACATGGCTGCAGCGAAGAGGGTGTTGCGCTACTTGTGCAGTACGTCGGGCATGGGGCTAGTGCTTGGAGGGCGGAGTCCAGTGGTCCTCACTGGGCACGCGGACGCTTCTTGGGCTGACGACCAGGCTACGCAGCGGTCGTCGCAGGGTTACACCTTCAGTCTTGGTTCCGGCTCTGTCTCGTGGCGGGCTACTCGCTCGTCCTCTGTTCTCGGCTCCAGTTGTGAGGCTGATATCTACGCCGGGGCCATGGCTGCACAGGAGCTTCGCTGGCTCACCTACCTGCTGACTGACCTTGGAGAGCCGCCTCGTTCTCCTCCAGTGCTGTACGTAGACAACAAGGCCATGCTGGCCTTGTGTCGAGAGCAGCGCTTGGAGCACAGAACGAAGCACATTGCTCTCCGTTACTTTCTTGCTCGTGAGCTGCAGCAGCGTGGTCAGTTGCGACTTGCTTACGTGGCCTCTGCGGCCAACACTGCTGATGTGTTCACCAAGGCACTTGCGCCTTGTGACCATCAGCGCTTCTGCACCCAGCTGGGTCTTGTACCTGTCTTGCCTCACTTGCTCTCTTCTTGACCTTGCTTGTACTGTTACATATATATACCTGCTCTTGCTTGTCTAGCTCTATATATATATATGTACTCCTGCATGTGAACTGGCCTTGTGGCCTTGTCGTTGTGCTCGGACTGTGTGGTGACTTTGTGATCCACCCTGAGCTTGCTCTGCTTTGCTTGACTGGTCTTGTGACCCCTTGTTCTCCCCCACTTTGCCTATGGGGGTGTGTCAGAACATTATATAGCTTATGCTGTTGTGTAGGCTATAGTGGGGTATCCCATAAGGGGTACAACCCAATTAGGGTTTCCCATATGTACTCACTTCATTCATAGTTCAAACATCCTCGTTCTTCCTTTCACAAAGTGATGCGTGGGAAACATGGAAAATGGTACGGGAAGTGTGGGCAGCGTGGGGAGAGTGGGCAATGTGAAGAGACTGGGAAGCGTGGGGAGAGTGGGCGGTGTGGAGAGACTGGGAAGCGTGGGGAGAGTGAGGAGCATGGGAGGTATGGGAAGAGTGGAGAGAGTGGGGAGAGTGGGAGGCATGGTAAACATGGGGAGCAGGTGAAGTGTGGGGAGCATGGGAAGCATGGGAAATGGGTGCAGCATGGGAAGCATGGGAAGCGTGGGAAGTGAAGGAAGCACGAGGGTGCATGGCATGGTCCTGGTGCTGCCACTGCATTTCTCCCGCCACACCCCCTTGGCCTGCGTCCGTGTCAACCCCAGCATGCGCACTACGAGAGCTCTGGCTGCCCTGGGAGCTGCTCCTTCTGCCCTCTGCACCACTGGGTGAGGACAACGCATCCTGCCCGCTGTGGCTCCACAGGTGCTTGAGGGAGATGCGGTGGGCAGCTGCGGCACTCCGTCGGCGAGTGAGCGCAGGTGTGTGTTGGTGAGGAGAGGCGGGGCCTGCGGAACTGTAAGAGCGCCCACCAGGGGACAACCCCCTCCGGGCCTGGTCATACCCCCCGCTGCTTGATGCACGCCCGTACCCCTTGCCCTTGCTGCCTGAGTCCAGGCTGTACCTCCTCTGGCCTGCTCCGAACCTTTCAGGGTCGGTGCGTGACCGAACCAGAGAAGGAGTGAAGGACCACCTGTTCCCATGCCCTGCCTCTTGCCGCTCTCTAACGTCCTCCTCCCCCAACCCCTCCCTTTGCACCACGGACCTGTCCGGCCGATGCCCCATCAGCACTCCGTAGCACCCGACAAGAACAGTAGCATCGCTGTTGGGAGACGGAGGGGAGCCGCCATCCCTACTGCGACCACTACCAGCCGCCCCGCCCTGTGAGCCAAGGCTGCGGGTTCTCACAGTGATGTGCTGCTCACTGCCACCCCCCTCCAGCCCCGACCGGCTGCGCCGCACTATCAGGGGCGCGCTGTGAAACATGGAGTCCAGCCTGGCCCACGCTGGCCGGATGAATCTGCTCGGAGTGGAAGTGGTGGAGTTGGGTGTGGTGGACTTGGGTGTGGAGGAGCTGGGTGTGGTGACGGTGCTACTTTTCCTGCTCAAGAGCAAGGTAATTTCAAGCCGCCCACTGTTCCACGAGTGATGGGGGTCCGATTTGCTTCTGACTAGATTGTTACCATCTTCCACTTGGCCAGTGTCGCTAGAGCAACTAGAACTCGCGTCACCGTCAGCCAGTTCACCAGCGAATCTGCCTCCCCGGTCGAAACTTGCAAGAGCCGAAGCACCCCTACTACCAGTCGTGAGACTTCGCCTTGTACCGATGCTGTCAGTAACGTGGACACCGTTTTCCCCCAAAGACCGCGAGTGCCGAACGCCACGAGGCGGCGAAACCGAGTGGCTAACAGAAACCTTTCTAGCCTGCCCTAATCTGTCACCGTCACGTTCGCTGTGAAATCTTGATAAGCTTCGACTAGTTTCCACACTCGCCCAACTGTTCCTCCCACCGCCACCCCCGTCGCCAGTAGCGCTGCTGCCCGTGCCGGCGCTCCACGTGGCACCCCGAACAAGTGCACGTGGAGCAGCGCCCATCACCGGCAAGGCTTTCGGCGAAGCGGCTGCTCTCACGAGCGAACTTTGGTGATGGGGCACGGGCCTGTGCCTGCCGCGACCGCTGCTGCTGCTATCGCTGCTGCCCTCACTCCCTGCTCGTTCAAACTGCATCGTCCCTTCGGGTTCCCTGCCCCCCTCCTCCTCCCCCTCGTCCTCCTCCTCGTCGCCCGCGAGCGTAACGTAGTAATCATCTTGCCCTGTGTAGTCAACTTGCCCTGCATATTCATCTTCGGCGGGATTATCATCTTGGGCGGCAAACTCATCTTGGGCGGCAAACTCATCTTGGGCGGAATCGCCCTCCGTGGAATCGGAACGGTCGTCTCTGACATCCTCCTCGACCGGATCATCATCGCCCCTTCCCCGCGCCCGCGCCTCCTTGTGTCGTGCAAGCCCACGAGTCGCCCCCACGGCCGCCGCTGCCGCCTTGGCGGCGGCGGACAGCACGCCCCGCTCACTCCCCGCCTTTCCCCCCGACGCGCGCTCCGCGCCGGCGATACTCCCACCGCCACTCCTGCAGCTCCCGCCGTTCGCCTCTCCACCGAAAATCCCGCTGCTACTGGCGGGTTGCGCAAGTAGCTGAAGTAGGCTGCTGTTCTCGTGGCTTCGGCTGCTGCTGCTGCTGCTGCTGCTGCTGCTGCTGCTGTCGGCCTTCCCGCCCGCGTCCAACCCGTCGTGCGCCTTCCATCCCTCCACGGCGCGCTCGCTCACGCGGTGCCCCCGCTGCAGCGAGGGCCGTCGCAGCGTCGCGACGAGCAGCCTCCACACGTCGTGCGCCTCGCGCACCACGCGCTGCGCTTTCCGCGCAGATTTCTCCCAATCGTCCGCGACGCTGCGCTGCGGGGATTCGAGGATCCGCCACGGGTTCGGCCCGACTGTAGTGAACCCTCCCGCGTCGGCCCACGCCTTCACTTGCGGCAGCGCCGTCGTCGCGACGGCCGCCATCTCCCCCGCCTCGACTTGCGGATCGTCCTCCGCTACCACTACCAGCTTCCACGAAACTTCCGACTTCAGGCCCGGGCGCAGGCGCACGGGCAGCGCGAGGAGCGGCAGCACGGGGAACACGTCGCCCGGGTCGCGCTCCCTTGCGCCCACCTCCACCGCTTCCAAAGGCGCGTTGTCCAGAATCACGGGAAACGCGGCGTCGGGCTCGGCGAAGGGGTCGCCAGTGGTGTCGCTAGAGGCGTCGCCCAGAGGATCGCCGAAGGGGACGCAGGACACGGAAATCGAGCGGAAAAAATCACGCCTGATCGTAGCGACGGGTTCGCTTGGGGGGAGAGCGGTTGGGGTCGGTTCGGAGGGAGCGGGCGCGAGGACGCAGGTCTGCGGAATTATGCCTACGTTCCACGGGCGCTGCTCCGCGTCGTCGACGCGCACGCTGCCGTCGAGCGACAGGCGACGACGACGACCCGAGAGCGACGCGGCGAACGACGAGGACTTGCCGGACGTGCAGATGAAGTTGAGCGGCGCGGGTGGCTTGCTGCGGGACGAGCGTTGACTGGCGGCAGCGGGAGCAGGGGAGAAGAGGACGATGTCGTGCCAGATGGAGACGACATGGCCCGCGCGAATGAGCGGGAGGAGGTTGCCTTGAGGCCGTTCCGACATGATACGTCGCGACTGGGAGAACTATTTTGGGACATGGCTAATCAAGGTGAACGAGGTAGCAGGTGAGAATGTGGATATGGCGGAAGTTGAACTTTTGGATGAGGGATTTCTCCAGTGTCGCTGAGCAATGGCGCATGGACAGTATACAGTGTACTGATAAAGTTGCTCCATGGTGTTGAAAAGCTTGCTTTGCCCAGATTCTTGGCGAGCACTACATGGTTTCTGGATTTGGTACATCTACCCACTTCTGGCTTTGTGGTCGCTTCGCTTGTGAGGGTGGGTTATTGTATTTGAAGGTTCATTCTGGTGCGCAATGGTTTAAAGCGGTGAGAGTCGAAACTTGCTAGCGTAGCTGACCGTGCACGTCAGAAGAACTATCGTATGACCTGGCTTCGAAAGGGCACCACCAGTCCAAGCCCAACCTGTCAGCAAACTGTCATGCTTTTGTAAGTGCCTCTTTGTAAGGAATTGTTCATTCCTGACTGAAATTACTCTACAAGTACAACAACTTTTCGAAATATCAGGCTCGGCCCGATGACCTCTAGCTGACATTCTTCCCCTTCGACTCGTCTTCCTAGGTCCCCGTCTAGCTAGGACCCTCGTTACATCTTTTCTAGGCTTCGATTCAATATCAGTATCGGTAGTTGCAAATAACTGTCAAATATGATAGACAGTAGTGAGGCATGTTATGTAGGGTACAAACATTAGGGTTTGTTATATGTACCCAAACTGATTCCAAAGACATTATCCTTTCTCATTCTGAGATGGTATCAGTTAGGTTAGACTAGGATCTGTCAGTAGAGCTGCACTGGGGTTACAGGCGCGTTCGCCTGAGGGGGTTATGGGCGCACGGACCCGCTAAACAAGCAAGCCCTTTTATCCCAATGGTATAGTGGTTGGGATTCTGACATGGTATCAGAGCAGTCTCGGGTTCAAATCCCGGTGTATGCGCATAAAGCCGTTGCCGCTGTGCTCAGTCCTGGGCCTTTTAGTGTGGGGGGGTGTCAGTAGAGCTGCACTGTGAGATCCCCGATTGATCCTAGGGGGGTTGTAGGCGTGTTCGCCTGGGGGGTTATGGCAGGGCTGACGTTTCATTTTAAGCTTCCCTGATTCCGGGGAAAATTTTCCCCCTCTATTATGGGTGCACATTTTCCAGAAAAGCAGTACCCTGATTGCTCAGGGTTGTAAAGTAGTTAACACTGATTGTTCAGGGTCGAGAACTGAACATCAGAGTAGTAACGCGCGCTTTGTTACCGGGGAAAATATCCCCACTCTCCATAAAGTCTCGAAGTTTCGATCAGAACGAAGTTTCGAAGAAACTTCGTCTTGATAAAGCGGGAAGGGGGGGGATTACGCACATGTGGGGGGATCACTGCGATCAATCCAAGGCGGGGTCATCGGAAAGAAACTTCTGAGAAACTTCTTCTCGATAAGTCGGGGAAAATATCCCCACTCTCCATAAAGTCTCAAAGTTTCGATCAGTACGAAGTTTTGAAGAAACTTCGTCTCGATAAAGCGGGAAGGGGGGGGATTACGCACACGTGGGGGGATCACTGCGATCAATCCAAGGCGGGGTCATCGGAAGGAAACTTCCGAGAAACTTCTTCTCGATAAGTCAGGGTCCACACAGTCGATACTCTGTTAAGTCAGGGTCCACTAACAGCCTAGTCTGTTACACTGTACTCAAAATCAGGGATAGCTAAACTATTACTCTGATTGGATCAGGGCTGGAAATTCAATAACTCTGAAATTTCAGTCTCCACGAAGTGGAAAGCCTGAAATCACCCTGAAATCAGGGTAATTACCCTGATAAAATCAGCCCTGGGTTATGGGCGCACTGACCCACTACACAAGCAAGCCATTTTATCCCAATGGTCTAGTGGTTGGGATTCTGACAGGGGGCCCGTAGCGCCTGTAGCATCCGCTGCGCCCGTAGCGCCCGTCGCGCCCGTCCACCCGTCGCACCCAGCCTGTAGCGCCCTGCCCGTCACGCCCGTTGCGCCCCGCCCGTCCCTCCCGTAGCGCCCTGCCCGTCGCACCCATTGCACCCTGCCCGTCCCGTCCATAGCATCCTTACCGACGCGCCCTACGCCCTGCCCGTCAGCGCCATTCGCGTCCGCGTTCCCTGCGCCCTGCCCGTCCGCACCAGTAGCGCCCTGCCCATCGCGCCCGTTGCTCCCGCCTGTCGCACCCTGCCCGTCGCGCCCTGCTCCGTGCCCGTCAGCGCCCTGCGCGTCCGCGCCCCTTGCGCCCTGCGCGTCCGCGCCCTTAGCGCCCCGCCCATTCCGCCCTTGCCCAACGCCCTGCCCATCGCGTCCGCGCCTGCACCCGTGCACTGCCGTGTCGTGCCCGTCCCGGCTGCGCCCTGCCCTCGTGCCCTGCGCCCTACCAGTCGCATTCTGCTCTTCGACTTGTCCGTCGTGCGCAGCCTGCCCGCTCTGCTCAGGCCTTCTCGGCGGCTGGCAGCCGCATCCCCCCTGTGAGAATTGAGAATGAAATGATTGAACTAGAAACGAGATGGGTACAAGTAGAGAACACAAAAGTGTTGTACCCTCTAAGAACTACCCCACTACAGCCTAAACAGACTATAGCATATATAAGTTTGACACACCCCCATAGGCAAAGTGGGGGAGAACAAGAGGTCACAAGACCAGTCAAGAAAGACAAAGCAAGCTCAGGGTGGATCACAAAGACACCACGCAGTCTGAGCACAAGCAAATGGCCACAAGGCCAGTTCATATGCAGAGTTATATAAAAGAAAACAAACAATAAACAGAACAAAACCTAGCAAGAGTAAGCATGCAGGTATATGTATAAAGAGTACAGTACAGGTAGAGTCAAGCAGAAAGCAAGTGAGGCCTAACACAGTGCAGAAACGCTGATGATCACAAGGCTGAAGTGCCTTGGTGAAAACATCAGCAGTATTGACCTGAGAGGCCACGTACGCAAGACGAAGCTGGCCACGCTGCTGCAACTCTCGAGCAAGGAAGTAGCGCAGATCAATGTGCTTCGTTCTGTGCTCCAGTCTGTGCTCCTGACACAAGGCCAGCATGGCCTTGTTGTCGACGTACAGAACTGGAGGAGAACGAGGCGCCTCTCCCAAGTCGGTCAGCAGGTAGGTAAGCCAGCGCAGCTCCTGTGCAGCCATGGATCCAGCGTAGATCTCAGCCTCACAACTGGAGCTGAGAACAGAAGAAGAGCGGGTAGACCGCCAAGAGACAGAACCGGAGCCAAGACTGAAGGTGTAGCCCTGTGACGACCGCTGCGTAGCCAAGTCGTCAACCCAGGAGGCGTCAGTGTGACCAGTGAAAACAACTCGAGCCCGTCCTCCAAGCACGAGCCCCATGCCCGATGTACTGCACAAGTATCGCAACACCCTCTTCGCAGCATCCCAGTGCACCTTTCGGTGCCTGCCGAAAGCCACGTAGCGAGCCAGAAGGCTGAGAGGGTATACGAGGTCAGGTCGTGTGCAAGTCATCAGGTACATGAGGCAGCCCACAAGCTCTGGATACGGGCCACTCGGCTCTACGGACTCGTCCGAAGGTGGAGCTGAGAGCGAGTGACCGGTAGGCAGAGGAGTGGACTGTGGCGATGAGTACGTGAAGCCGAAGCGCTGAAGGACCTGCTGCACCATGTGTGATTTAGTCAAGGTAATGGTGCGCTGTGCTCTGTCCCGGGTGATCCGCAAGCCAAGATAGCTTGTCAGTTCACCCAGGTCTGTGCACGTGTGTCTCTTCTGCAGTTCAGACTTCACGTGGGAGAGTGCCTCAGTGTCAGCAGTAGCAAAGACGAGAACGTAGAACGGCGGCAGAGTAGTGTCAGTGCGTAGAAACAGAGAGGGGTCAGCGGTGGAAGGAGCAAAACCAAGAGAAGCAAGAGTCGTCCTGAGTGTGTCGTGCCACTCACGGGGTGCCTGGCGGAGACCGTAGACTGGCCGGCGGAGGCTCCACTGGGTACCAGCAGGAAACGACCCAGTGAAGCCAGGTGGGCGGCGCAGCCAGATCTCCTCGTGCAGGCTGCCCTGTAGGAAGGCTGTGCTGAAGTCAAGTGAGTGGAGCTCGTAGTCACGCTGAGCAGCAACGTGCAGCAGTACCCGAAGAGTGGTCATCTTCGGGGTAGGGGAGAAGGTCTGAAAGAAGTCAACTCCCTGTCGCTGACTGAAGCCACGTGCAACATAACGCGCCTTGAAGGTAGGCGGAGAACCCGGCGGCCGCTTCACCCTGAAGATCCACATGCCACTGACGATGTTCGCCCCAGGTGGGGGAACCTCGTCTACGTAGGTGCCTGTGGACTTCCAGGAAGCCATCTCTGCGTCCATGGCTGCCTGCCACTGAGAGGAGTAGGGACCCTCTATCGCCTCTGCGTAAGAGCGCGGGGTCGGGATGTCTAGTGCATCCGGGTCTCCCTCAGGGGTCAGCAGCATGGACACGAGATGAGGTACAGAAGCAGCAAAGCACTCAAACTCCTCCTGTCTGTCCTCAAGGACGTCCGTGCCAAGAGCACACTCACCCCCGACGGACGGAGGACAGACAGACACAGACGCAGACTCAGCAACAAGACTAGTGGCGTAGTCTAGGCGACAGGCGGCAGCAAAGTCAACAAGCTCAGTAACAAGAGTAGACGCAGCAGAGGACTCAAACAGAGGGTCAGTGACAGCAGTGGCTAGAAAGCGCGTGACAGTAGGACTAGCAGCACGAAGGGAGTCAGACTCCGGGTCCGGACCGTCAGGAAGAGAGGACGCAGGAGGAGAGGGCAGAGGGACACGCTGTGGAGCATTGGAAGAACGCAGAGTCATAGAGTGAGTGCCAGGGACAGGAGGACGACGCGGACGCGAAACACGACCAGCGCGAACAGAACGGACAGGCGACGTAGAACGAGACACAGGCGATACAGGACGCGACTCAGGCTCACGACGCTCCGTAAGACCTCTAGTCGGTCCAGTGTAAGGAGAAGGACCAGGCAGCGGAGAGGCCGGCTGTAACTGCGACTGAGAAGGGACA